TTTAAATTAAGTCAAATTTTTTGCGGCGGCATGAGACTATTCTATTATCATAAAACTGTTAAGAAAATATATGAAATATCAAAATGATGTATCCATAGATTACTGTATATATACTAGAGAGATGTATCTTAGCAACGATTACTTGTTGATTGTCACGTTTCTATATAATAAATGTATGTAATTACTCTAAGAAAATAAGACTTCTGTTATTTTCTTCTTATATTGTTTATTTAAAACTATATATGTTTTAAATCTTAACAAAAACACCACGCAAGTATCCTAAGAGGCGATAGACGGATGCTAAAAAAGGAAATCGGCAGCGACATTTTCGTGGTAATAGCTCAAAATATTAAAAAGAAACAGCGGTTACCAACCCATTTACTAAGCGGAGGATCAATGGAAATTACCCGCCCAATAAGGCAATTAATAGAGGAGGCTTATGTCACTTATGTTCAGAATTGGACTGATTGATTGAATAAAAAACATGAAAGTTAAATTTTGTCCACTCGCGTCTACCAAATTTCGATATTTTACGTAAATATCTCACAGAAGAACCTCTTTGATTGAGAGACAGACAGATGTACCTACACCGAGTGCTAAAATGTATCTCATTTGTTTAAGATTACTTACTATTTTCAATTTTCCCTTAGCTGACTGTTGACTTGACAACGGTAAAAATCACTAGGACCTTTATTAAATCATTAAGAGGCTTTAGCTGAAAGCTTAAAGTGTGCAATAAGCATATAATTAAATAAATGTATATTCATATACCGTTTTTTGATAGAATGGTTTGGTTGGTGGTAGTTCTTGCACAACACTTCACACAGAACAGGAGCCGTGGTAGCTCAGTGGTTAACGCTCGCTGTAAATATAACAGAACGCGAGTAACCCGGGTTCGATCCCCGCCGGCACCAATGAAATTGTTAATTGCAATTTTAAGTGCTGATTTACCACGTGCTCGGCGGTGAAGGAAAACATCGTGAGGAAACCTGCATGTCTGAGGAATAAAAAAAAATATTTCGAAGACATGTGAAGTTCGTCAACACGCATTTGGGCAGCGCGGCGGACACTTCCTTGCCCTAAAACCCTCTCAGAAATGAGGGGAGGCCTGAGCCCAGCAGTGGGACGTATATAGGCTGTAACTTTACTTTACTTTTACTTCACACAGACACTGGTGCTGCTTGTGGTGGGGGGCGGGGGAGGGGGGCGCTAGTATGTTCGGGTTCGCTAAACTGACAAGCTCCAAGTTTTTAATCGTCCTTCTTTTATACATCATAGATCGAGCTTCAATTACCGATGAGTCGGCTATCGTTTTCAATTATGTATACACTATGTTATGTAATATTATCTTAAAAAATTACAGAAAGATGATATTGAGTTTCTGAGTTTCTTTTACCATTTGGATATAGTAGCAGATTTGAAATAAAACAGACGTTTTCAAAAACTAAATGTTATTTATTTTCTTACGCTGAATTATAAAATAATTTTTATTTTATTTAATTTTTTATTTCAAAAGTTATTGTATCAAAAAGATAAAAGAGAAATAGGAGCTCTCCATGTCAAAATAATATAAACTAATGTGAAATACTTCCTAAGTACGCGTATCTTTATAAAATATTTATAGGTCTTATAATGTCCGTAGAAGCCGATGATATTATTGTGAATAATATTTTTTTCATCGCGTAGTGACGGTGTAAGATTATTCACTCCATATATCGTCCCAAGAGCGATGTGAGAGGCGACAGATGGAAACAAAAATAACGGCATCAACTTATTTCTTTAAATAAATAATGGTAAAAAAATTGCGGTTGTCAACCCGCCTTTGTTAAGCAGTGAACGCGCTACACGAGGGTTGCCAACTATAGTTTTATTGTTTTCTGTTTATATAATGAAGATGCTGCAGTTTATCTCCTGGTTTTCAGCTTCCCTCTGTAAACACCCATGCAACTAAATGGGGCGATGAATTCTATACTCTGCACTCTGTACTGGAAAGGCCGCTTCCCATCACCAGCTTGGGCAGTTTGGGTTTGCTATTTTAGATAGTAGCTTAACCCCGCAGACGATGTCCTGCTAGTTAATATCATAGGTTGTGTTCAGCAACGTCTTTTTTATTTCAGCGCATTCAATCATTTAATTTATTAATTGACGCGCTTGATTGAAATAAAGCTTATTTGCTTTCTTTCAATCAAGCGCGTCAATTAATATAAATAAGCAGAAATTTTAAATTTTGTTTGTTCCATTTAATATATACGAGTATATATCTTACTATATATAAATTACGTGTGACGTTGTTTGTCCGCGATGGACTCCTAAACTATTTAACCGATTTTAATCAAATTTGCACACCGTGTGCACTTTGGTTCAACTTGAGAGATAGGATAGTTTTTTTTGCCTCATGAGTGACCCACAATATTTTTTTCCGAATTTAAGGATTTTTAATAGGATATAACAAAGGGTCGTCGAAAAGGGCAGAACATCATCTGCCTGGCAAGCTATATATATATATATATACATATACATATATATATATATATATATATATATATATATATATATATATATATATATATGTAATAGTGGAGACGAACTGTCCACTATTAACAGACTCCGAGTGGTTTTCTTTAAGGTGGAGAAATGAAACTACTGTTTATGTTTATGAATGTACTGTCGAATGGATTCGGAATGGAATATATTTTGCATCAACCTTGCCTATATTTATATGGCTGGCTCACTATTGATTTGCCAATGGTAACAATTAATATTTTGACTAGCCAATTATATTGCTTATTTTATGACCAATGAAAACTATTTAAAATATACAATTATCTACGTTTCGTTTCCCGGCGTGAGACTTGTTTGTTGTTCACGAAGCTACGTCGCTGGACCGGGCTATATAAGACATGCAGATCGGTGCGCACGCGTAGTCGGCGGGCGGCGGCGGTGTGGAATACAGCTCCGGAACAGCAAGAGGAAACGAACTGCGGCGTTGAAGAAACGGCTCACCATTGGTCGACGGATACGTGACGATAGCGGCGTGTGAAGTCGGTGTGGCGCTGAATGATATTTGCGGCTGCTTCTTGTTTCTTTATAAGAACGTCAAATTATCTATATACAGTCCGCAGTATCTCAGTAGCCAAGAATAATTAGGAAATAAAATGTTTTTTTTATTTATTCTCGCCTTCCGCGTTATGGTAGCAGCGGAGTATATATTATTTATTCCCGTTTAGGTTTGATTAATCTGGCTGCTACATCTCTGTCCCGCCAGCGAAAGCGTACGGGAGGCTTGACGACTCGCCCGTATTTGGTAGTTTTTAAAATAGGTTTCAACTGGGTTGATGTAGATGATGAATTTTCAAGCTTCCTCGCTGGTGGTTTTGATGATGATGATGAATCCTCTGCAGTATCCTCGTTAATAATATAGGCAGGCTTTAGTCGGTCGATCGATATAATCGTAGATTTCCTTCCGGGTATTTGTAGTTTAAAAGTCTTGCTATTTCTCTCTAATACTTTATACGGTCCATCGTAGGTAGGTTGAAATTGTTTTTTCATTGCGTCGTTTCTTACAAAAACTTGTTTGCATGTTTTCAAATCTTGGTGAATGAATACTGATTTATTATTTCTGTGTGATTGCATTTCGGTGCATTTCAACGATAAGGCTTTGTTAATTGATTCTCGAAGTTTAGTTACGAAATCGTAATCCATTTCTTGTTTGTTTGACGCTGCTGAACTGAAGAAGTCACACGGCAGCCTTATGCTGCAGCCGTAGGTTAGCTGAGCGGCGCTAAGACTAGTGTCTGCACGCGGTGTTGCTCGTAGTCCGAGTAGCACTGTAGGTAGCTCATCAATCCACTTTGTATGTTGAGATAAACGAGTTTTGAGTGCAGTCTTTAATGTACGATGCCATCGTTCGATTATTCCGTTTGACTGAGGATGGTATGCTGTTGTACGCGTCTTCTGTATTCCCATAGTTTGAAGAAGTTTGAGGAATAGGTTGCTTTCGAAATTCCTTCCTTGATCCGTTGTGATGGTTTTAGGTGATCCGAAACGAGTAATCCAATTTTCATAAATTATCTTCGCGACGGATTCGGCTGAAGTATCATCGGTAGGTATTGCTTCTGGCCATCTTGTTGTTCTGTCGATCATTGTTACGAGATAACGATGTCCTTGCGGTGAAGTAGGTAATGGTCCAACGATGTCAACGTGCAAGTGTTCGAATCTCTCCGTGGGTGGAAATGTAGCTAGACTACTTGATGTATGCCTTTGTACTTTGCATTTTTGGCATTGAATGCATTGCTTCGCCCAGTTGCCAACATCCGCTTGCATTGCAGGCCAAAAGAATTTTTCAGTGATGAGTTTTCTTGTTGTTCTAACACCTGGATGACTAATGTTGTGCAGTGTATTGAAGACTTCGCGACGACATTCTTCTGGTATGTATGGTCGCATGGTTGTCGTTGAGGCTTCACAGTATATAGGTAGATGCGTCATTGGCATTGTAACTTGCTTGATGGACAAGTTACCTTGCTTCGATAGATGTTTTATGTTGTCACTATCTCTGTCTTGTGCTGCGGCGATCTTATGATAGTCGATTGATGTAGGGCACGTTACACTGTCGATTGGTACGCGACTGAGTGCGTCGGCAACTATGTTGTCCTTTCCACTGATGTGACGTATGTCGGTCGTGAATTCACTTATGAAAATAAGTTGTCTTGCTCTTCGTGGTGTTTCCGATAGTGATGGTTTCTTTGGAAGTACATATGTTAATGGTTTGTGGTCGGTAAAAACGATCAGGTTTCGACCCTCGAACGTTTTTCTGAAGTGCTTGATAGCCATGTAAATAGCGAGTAGCTCTCGGTCGAATGTACTGTAGTTACGTTGAGTATCGGAGAACTTCTTCGAAAAATATCCAAGTGGTTGCCATTTCCCATTGCTGTATTATTGGAGAACTGCTCCTGCTGAGAGATCGGATGCGTCGCTGAAGATAGCAAGGGTTGCTTCGTGTGATGGGTGAGCGAGTAAAGCTGCATTTTGGATCGCAATTTTACAAGCTTCAAATGCTAATTTTATAATTAAATGATATTTTTATTTATATTATCTTTCATATTATTATATCCATATTAATTCAGTTTATCGACGACTTCATTAAATACCGTAGTGGTTTGTAATAAATATAATTAAGTAAAAATTTGATGAAAATTATTCGTTTACGCTCTTAGTTATTCTTTATTTTTATTAAAAAGAGATGGGGGTGATAGATTTCCTTACGTTGTTATCATAAGACAAGGATTTTAAATATTAAAATGAAATTTATATTTTATATGTAAAATGTTTAAAGTTTTATAATTATTATAGAATAAATCTCGATAAAAACTCTCAAGCACACAACACACACGTGTACTAATAAGCTATTTAAAAAATATTTTCGTACAATTCATTCATTCGTTCAATCATTCATTACAGCCTTTCAATATCTACTGCTGAACATAGTCTTCCCTCTTATGGGGGATACGAGTATTTGCAATAGCTGCCAGGCTTGCAAAGCGGGGAAGTATCCGCAAATTTTTATTATACAGTTGCTAATAGGAAAACCTTCTTTCTGCCATAATTGTTTTTTTATTATTTAAAATAAATCAAATACAAAGCTTAAATTGTTTTATCACGGTGTCGCAAAATCTAAGAAGGTTTATCTGTACACAATGCTTCATCGACGGAACTCGATGCTCACAACCTACTAACAGACATTATCTATTATATATTACGGTAGATATAATATGCTTTAAAATCGTAGCGAAGTTCTACACGCTTGCAATGCATACGTACCTACATTCACGGGTAGTAAAATTGTGTCATTACACAGATGCACAAAACCAGTTAGCCAATGATCGTACATAAGAGAGTACATAAGATTGTGGTATAGTGCAGTTACCAGCTCTTATTTTATATCTTTTTATATCTTAATATATGTCTATCTTACAACTTCCACGATTTCGTTTTTTAACTAAAAGGAGTGGATGTAGAAAATAAAATTTCTTAGTTTATATTTCAGTGGTCTGCAAGTAATGAAATGTTCATTTGAAAATACACAGCAAATAAATCAAATAACTGAAACCGGTTTCCCAAGGAAAAGCGGAATAGATTGAAATAAAGCCATAATCTGCTAGTTTATAGCCTGTATTTCATTGGTTTATTTTATTTGATACTATCTAATGTCAACTGAACCCTGTTGTTAAGCGTTTATTTTGTAAGTTATGGGCTTACGATAATATTTAAAATGTATATTTTGTTTTCATCGTCATTATCTCTACAGTCTATGTAGAAACAGAAACTTTTTTTATTCAATTTGTAAATAATACTTATTAAGTCATTTTTTTAATTTACCAAACATCAACCACTGAACACGTTCAGGGTCTTTTGAGGTTTTCATGAAACCTCATAGAAAAGAATTGGCAACCCAAAAATAAAAAAAAAACTGCGGCTACTAATCCGTCTGCCAAGCGATGCAACAATTACTATTTGTCAAGGGGAATATTTGTGAGAGATAATCTATGGGAAGGTCTACGTTAAGCAGTACTAGTAGATTTGATAGGTTATAAGAAAATTAAAATAAAAGTTAAGGTTTACAGCCTGCAATAAGTATATATGCCCCACTGCTGGGCATAGGTCTGCTCTCATTTATGAGAGGATTATAGGGCAGGAAAATGTTCACCGAGCTGTCCCAATGCGTGTTGGCGAACTTCACATGTCGTCGAAATAATTTTTTTTGTTTTTATTCTCAGACAAAAGGTTTATTCATGTTTGTTCCTCATGATTTCCTTCATCGCTGATCACGTGGTAAATCAGCATCTCAATATTTGCAATTAAGAGTTTCATTGGTGCCGGTGGTGATCGAATCCGGGTTGCTCGCGTACTGTGAAATTTATAGCAGGATATTATCCCGTTAACTGCCACGGCTCTTATAAAATTATTGACTTTGAGAATACGTTTAGAACGACTATTCGCAACGACACGTGCCCTGGTGTCCAATCTCGTTCCTATTTCGCTGATATTAACTTATTGAATGCTCGGCTACGACAAACAATGTACATCGTGTTGGAGTATAATTATCGTCTCAATGTGCTCGCGAATGTTTTTTTTGCGTACAATAAACATTTAAAAAAGTAAACTACTGTTCTCAAAAGTTTGGGGTCATGTTATTTAGTTTTTTTTAAAGCAGTCGCTTTAATAAAAAAAAACTAAATAAAATGCATAAAACGATGATTATAGTTTATTGATTTATACTTTGTTACACAAATACAAACATAAACAGAAATTTCACTATGGGTATTATTAAGGCTTTCTTATTGTTATTGCGAGCTAATCAAATCATATAGATATATTATATCGTCTTATAATTATAGAAAATGGTTTATCAATATTCTCAGCTTTAATTTATAGAAAACTTTTATAAATTTTCCTAATTTGAGCAAAGATTATCAAAAAGCCACATTTCGTAATAAGACCGAAAGTGTCACAGACTTTGCTTTTGAACTCTGAGAAAAACAATCCACTATACGTTATTTTATACAAATTTATCGATTCACGCAGCACTATCCTTGGAAGCTATTAGGACAAATATCATGGTTAAGTTTTAGCCCATATACGTTCCACTGCTATATATTACTAATAATGTACTAATTTTTGACAATTACAATTTCGTCAGATTTCAATCAGCGTAATAAAGATAAATATTTTATGCTCACATTTTAATTTCTGTTTGATTCACTTTCGAAAATATCACGCAAATGATGTACTATGTATTTTGCATGCAAGAACTTATCGCGTAGGATATATTAGTACGAATTTGTTTTATTTTTATTTGTAAAATAACGACTATTTACTAATTACATATTTCTGCTTTGTTTCAGTAAAAAAGGCGCGATATGTTGGTATACAAGGTATGTCCCTTTAACTTTATTTTAGTTTCGAATTAAATATTAAGCATTACATGAAGTTGTAAGCACATGATAGATATCGGGGCAGTTATGTTTTGGTGACTGATCGGGCGTCTATAATAATTTCTGTCGTTTCTGTTTTATGTCGAACATGTATAATATATATGTTTACTAACTCATATTTTATTACTCATTCATTCATTTATTCATCGCAGCATATCGATAGTCCACTACTGAACTTAGGCCTTCCCATAGATTTTCTTGTAGCTTGACAAATTTAGTACGTTAGGGTGCTGTGGTCATCCGGTTAATAGATCAGTGATACGATAGCTCTTCGTCACTCAATCAAATAATAAAGAGTCAAAAGGGAGGCTTGGCTGTTGACATTATTGTAAATATTTTAGTTGCTTTTAGGATTGTGTAGTGTAGTAAATTTTTTAAGCTGATTTTTTGAAGTGTTCCTAATTATTGCCATAGCTTGTGTGTTATTTTTTTTCTTAATATATTAGTTATAACATAAGACTTTGTGTTTTTGTCTATGTCCTACTGCTAGTTTTGGTTTATAGGGTGGCAAAGCTTAAGGTAACCATATTACCACCATGTACATTATGACAAATACAAAGAGGGCCTTGCCACGATTGGCAGGCAGGTTGGCTACTGCAGGTTTTGGCAAAGAATATTAAAATGATTTTGCTGCTATCTCCCGTACCAGTTTTCTTAGATAGCCTCTTACAGCACTCACGGGATAATATTATTATAACGTAGTGGCAGCGTAAGAGAATCCACTACTCCATATTTCTTTTATATAGTATAAGGGTGTCACCCTAACACTATATAAAAGAACGAGCACATAATCCAACTGATGGTAAGCGGATGCTGTGGCCCATGGACATCTACATTTATTCCCGATCAAGAATCAAAACGCAAATGTGTTGTCACCCCTGAGGACTAAGGAATGCCTTGTTTCCTGTAAAAAAGTCTCCGGATCTCTACTTATTTAATTATATGTTAAAATACTTTAATGACTTATTATTTTAAAATAATAGCATAGCATTGTTTAAAGAAAATTCTATTTTCATACATCGATTCATTTAAAAGGTTATCCAAGATACTTTTATGTTTAAAACTTTCCAGTCTTGTACTTATGGTATATTATTGCTTGCAGCTACACAATTCAACACGTACGTGACACTAAAACTACAAAATGTCAAGTCGACGACGGTGACAGTGAAGGGTCCGACGCCATGTTGGGAACAAGACTTTCTATTGTAAGCATTGTTATTTTCGTTCTTTAAAAGACTTGCACGAGAAAAGAATTTATTTTATAAATTGTATAGGGTGAATTTTTATTTATCATAAATATGACAGCTTGGTATTGCAGTGGCTAAGCGTTTGCCTATGGCGATGTGCACTGCTGGTTCGATTCCCGTTCGGAACAATTAATAAACATCTCTAAGATGCAAAAATATACATGGAATACTCGAGAAATATAAAGAAATTTAGCTATAAAATTTAGAGCTGTTGTAATGTAATACAAGCCAATGCTTTTATACGAGCCATTGCTGGGCACAGACCTTTCATTTCAAAGAGCGTTATGGGGCAATTAGACCGCTGCGTTGACCTACAATAAGTAAAGCTGTGTTAGCACAGGGAAAAACCCGTGCATTAAAGTTTAATAGTACGCGAGCAAACAATAAAAAATAGGTCGATATGCATCGACACTAGGTTTAGTTTAGTTATTGCAATTAAGTATTATTTGGAGGCGGCAATTATTATTGATTGCAATTTTGTTTGGTATACTACTCGTTCACTCTACTTTTACTATACTTTACGTTCGTGCTCATTTGGAAAGGAAAATATCCTGAGGAAATTTGCATACCCGAACAATTCTTAAATGATATTATGAGGACCTATGTAGTACACCAAAAAGCATTAAGATCTTTTTGATATTATGAAAGACTAATCTTTGAAAAAAATAACAATATTTTCCTTTATCGCATTACACGTAAATTATTAAAGTAGTGGATTAGAGTATCGACTTAAATTTAATAGTGTGAGAGCAAACCCAGATGTGGCACCACAAATTTAAATTTTATTTCATGAACACTATGATAAAATAAAACCTGTAAAACTAAAAATTAAACTTATAATAAAAAGTAAAATTACAAAGAATAACATGGTTTTATCTACTCAAGATATAAAAAAATAAAACTGACTTTAGTATGTGAATTTTTTTTCTTTTCAGTTCTTTGATGTCGTTTAACTTTGATTATAAGTAATATTTTTGACTATTTTTTCCAAATTGATATAAGACCACCTCTGAAGTATAACTTATTTAATAAAAATAATCATTATAATCGGTTTATAATTGACGGAGATATCGCGTAAGCTTTATAAAAAAACAGTCAAAATGAGAACTTCCAATAATAGCAAATACTTGAAGGATAAGATGCGAAGCCCACCAACATACCTCTAGCCAGCGCGGCACGCTCGAAGACACGATTCCTTACCTCCGTTCACTCGGCTACGGGTCTGATCAGATCATACAATACCTACCTTACGTCGGCTCTAGTACGGGTCGGATTAGATCAGAAGTACTGCCCTATGAACTATTTTTTTTAAACTATTTTTTCGTTTTAAACAAAACCAAAGACAATATGCAATAGATAATAGTATCAAAGACAAAGATGTGCTCTTTTATTTTAAACCATAACCTGGCAATGTTTCTTAGGAAAAAAAAATCACTCTGAACTTTCGGCGTTCCACGTGTCGCTTTGACGAAGGTGCTCCGTCTTTTTTATAGAATTTTGTATTTGTGTCTGGACTAAAAACGAAAGTATTATACTTTTTTATATTCCTTGTAATATAGTAAACGCGTAGATATATAATTTGTGGTAAAGTGAAAAGTAAATTCCAAAAGTACTTCAAAATCCGGAAGGCCCATTTTGGCGGTTGGGTCATAAATGTATTATTTTTCAAATTGTCATTTATTTTTAGTGTAAAATGTAAGTAAAAATAGTTTTCTTACATATTTCAAATAACTTGACGTTGTATTTATTTCAAATTCACACAAAACTATTTTTGAAATATTGTTCGAAATGTCATACAGATAAAATATTATTATTTTTTTTAATTTTATATTTTAATATTTTGGCATGAGTAACGAATAGAAACACATAAAACATAAAAATGTACATATTTCCAAACATTTTCATATAAATTTCTCCAAAAACAAAAGTGTAGAATTCAAATTAGTAGTAATTTTGTAACTAAAATTGAAGTATATACTACTACTATGCTATACAGGGTAATTTATGTATTTTATTACAATTTCTAGCAACCAAAAATAATTTTATTCGATAGTTTATACACTCAACAAGAATTCCTATAAGTTTTATCCATAAATATTGTCTCAAAGTGAAAATATAGCAAAATTTGCAATATAGCAAAAAAATTTTCTAACTTACAAATTTTCCCGCCATTAAGGTGCCAAGTGAACGGGAGTATAACATGTCGTGCACTGTCAGAGCTTACCTATTAACTTATTTAGGCTGTCAATTTAGTTTTTTATTTTAAGAATATTATTGGTGGTGAGTGCTGGCACTACGTGCTTTATAAAATACGAGGGCAACACCGAAAGTTTTTAGGCCTGGCCACTTGTAAACGATATAATAAAAAAAATAAGTTCAAAATTTGAAAATGGAATTCTTTGTCAATATTATTGTGAATGTATTTTATTAATTTGTCATTTGTTTACGATTTAGCGGAAAATTGAAAATTGTGTGTGTCACGTCAGCATGAATTTAACGAAAGAAAATTTTCGTACAATGATTTTTTATGACTTTAGATGTACCATTTAAATTAACAAGGAAGTTATGATAGATTTTGATTGGCCTTTCTTTATGAAGCCCTATCTCATACCACTGTTTACAACCGGTTTAATAAGTTTAAACGTGGTCGCACTAATCTCACCGATGATCTGCGTGAGGGATCGATCGATGAGAAGCGATCGAAAAAAAGCTGGATTTATTGTTATGATCCTGAAACTAAGAGACAGTCTGCTGTCTGAGTGTTTCCTTTCGAAGGGCTGCCAACTAAAGTGAAGAGAGGTCGAAGCATGGGAAAAAAGATGGTGGCATCGTTCTTCGGAAGGATAGGTCATTACGTAACAATTGTTCTAGAGGATCGAAAAACAGTTACTGCAGAGTGGCACACTAACAATTGCTTGTCACTTGTCTTGGAAAAAGTTCGGGAGAAACGACCTTGCAGTAGGATCCTCCTTCACCACGAAAACGCCTAGTCGCACACCGCCAAGCAAACAATCAACTACTTGGCGACGTCAGATGTGGAGTAAATGGGTCACCTGCCCTATAGCTCGCCCTCGCACCTTACGATTTTAAGCTATTGCATTGCTTCTATCGCGGGCCTTGAGCGCGGGGACCGAATCCAGAAATTCCGTAACGAAAAAAACCTCACGCTCCCCACTCAGACGGGCACGGAGGTGTGGCGTTGAAAGCCGTGCATCGTCTAACGTCGTTTCAGTTCGGCAGACTTCGGCACTCTGCAGACTTCGGCACGGTGTTTGTGTGCGCGACCTAACTCAATGATAAAAATTCCTGAATAACCTACATGTATTGTAAGATATTAAAAACATTTTAAACAATTTTAACTTCTCATTTATTCAATAAGAGAATAAAATTGTTTTCTTATCGGTCACCACGCTCAAAAAGTGTAACTTGATTTAATATCAAAGACTTAACTGCATAAATAAAATAAATAAATAATTATAATTGCATAAGTTGATAAAAAATTCTATGCAATAGCTTTACCGCGGCAGTCACCGAGTGCCACACGTATTTTTATTTATTTTCAAAAATAAAAGAAAAACCTCGAGGAAAACGTTTTATGGACGCCGAGGAAGCACTGGCCGCGTTTCACAATACCGTCGAAGAGGACGAGTGGGCAAAGTGATTTTCTCTATTATTCCATCGGATGCAGCGATGTCTTAAGTAATGGACACTATTTTATACTAATAACTTGCTAGTTTGTTCAGTTTTTGATTGTCTAAGAACTTTTAATGGTGACCATCGTAAGCATGACAAACGACCACACAGTCCACTCAATGGTAAGTAAATGCTGCGACCCATAGATATCTACATCTATACTCGATTAAGAATCTAAATTCAGATGTGTTGTCGACCTTGAAAACTAAGATGGAATGCCTCGTTTCCGGTAAAAAAGGTCTCCGGTTCTCTATACTCCCTATACGAAACACAGCAGCAAGCTGCTATTTCACGCTGGTGTTCTGTGAGAACGTGATCCTTTTTCGGTCGAGCCGACCCATTCGTACTGTATCGTGGCTCTAACAGGTAAACATTGCTTTATTTAATTACACGTAATTTGTAGCAACAAATTTTAATTAACAGGTAAAAGCAAACAAACAAAACAAATTATATACAAATTTTTAGCTTATAAAAACTTAGCATATAAGGTCCTCAGAACCTGCTATCGCTATTATATCTTTCATAATATAATTAATATAACAATATATAACATTTCTTGCCTGGGATAAATTGACATGTAGTGTCACATACACGTACCTTAAACTGTCAATATTTTTATATACATAATTGAAATAAAACAAAATCCGTCAAAATCAGTAATCTTACCAATAATCATAAAAAAACCCTCTTAAATTTCACTTACGAAATTATAAAATAATACTATATATAGCCTTATTTTCTCCGAATTGGATATTAATTGAAATAAATTAAAAGATAATGATTTCTTATATATAGGCGAATACTACACATTTAATGCAATTAATTTTATGGCTTTTATCCCGTTTAATTTTAACTTTTTAAATTCCTACGTTTCGGGTGCTTTACAACACTCATCCTAAAGGTGGTGTTTTTTTAATATTAAACATTATAAAATCCGTACAATTAGTTTCATTTATTAGATTAAAAGATTCATTCAGTGCTTATTACTCTGTAAATGCAAAAAAATATTTCTGTAACGAATTTTAACAACTAATGCCTGTTTTTTTGTGGAGGACTTGGTACAAAGCCTTCCGATGACAGTGGACATGGTAACAGAACTGTATTGTTGAAAGCAATCGAGAATCCATAATGTTTTGTTCCACAAAGCCCCGCATTGCATTGCAAAGCCGGGATATCAATTGTAACTTGGACATACGTTGCAAGTAATAAAACAATATAAATGAATCAAGCGTGTATCACGTTTAGTTCATTATAGTTTATCTTAT